GCGAGGAAGGCATACACGTGGACCCTTCCAAAATCAAAGCGATTGACAATTGGTCAGCACCAAAGACGCCCACAGAAATCCATCAATTCTTGGGTCTCGCTGGCTACTATCGCAGGTTTATCCAGAAATCCATCAATTCTTGGGTCTCGCTGGCTACTATCGTAATAGTGTTCATTGATGATATACTTGTTTGAGGCCAGTGCCAGGTGGCCCCCACCACCGACCATACCCCCAGCCTATATATACGGGACCCCCACCTTCATTTGAACCTTCTTGGCCGAAAACTCTCTCATTATATCTCTCTACCTCTCGACCGTAAACATCAAAACACCCTCTTTCATCGAATCCAACATCATTGTTCTTGAGTTTACGGCCGTACACCCTTCAAATCTTCAAAGACCGCAAACTGTTTACGGCCGTACACCATTCAAACCTTCAAAGACCGTAAACTCGTTTACGGCCGTAAACCCTTTAAGGGACAGTTCACGGCCGAAAACCCTTCACGATCGCAAACGCCTTCACACCGTGAATCTTGACTGCAAACCCGCTTTTCCGATTCAATCGAGTCCCGGTAACATTCCTAAACTGAAAACAAGTGTTTTCCCAACACTATAAATAACGGTTTCACTAATAAAATACATATATGTATTAATTGTATTAGGATCCCATTGAGTGCCGCATACATCAACTCGAGGGTCTTCACTCTCAGTTTTCGCTGTCCGACTATTCACACGACTAACAGTGAGTTCATACCCCTATGCTTTTATGATTTTAAATGTTTTCGGGGGGAGAGTACAAGCCAAACACAAATGAATTTGTGCATTTATACAACAGGATTTCAACACATTTAAAACTGATGCAAATTTATACAATCTTACAGTTTCCACATACTTATAAAATATTTAGATATTTTATCCCTTTTGTAACATGCTGAGCATAAGGGACTTTTTCAAACTACAGTCAAATTTGCTTAGTTTTCAGAACAGTACATAAACCAAGTACACATCATACATGCAAACTATAATAGGTATAGTTTGGGTTTTCAATACACAGTTTTACGAATTCAGAGATTTACATAGCAAAACTTATAAACTATGACAGATTTAGTTTATGATATACATTAATACAAGAGTATAACATTTAATAATTATTTAAGTATAATTATTACCTCATACAGTATACATACATGTTTAAATACAGTAGATCAATACAGAACTACACGTAAACTAGTTAATACAGGATTGTGAGACAACACTTCAATTGTACCTTTCGGGGTACAGGTTAAATCCTATCATAGTATAACCAGAGTCTCCTGGAGGGAGAGCGTGAGATTTGCGAATAGATCTATTCAGGACTGACAATCCCACACCTGAACTGTTAGCTACAGTTAGGCAGACATGCCTGGGGTGACAAATGTCATTTATCCGACACTTGAAGAACGTCGTAAAGGTCACTAGGTCATATCAAGAATGGTTATACGACTCACAATAGTATAAACTAACCTTATTGTTTACGGGACTACATTCTTCTTTAGTTTTATTTTAATAATAAAACTAGTTCGTAGTACAATTGGAGGATCCTAGGGATTTCAACACATAGTTTTATTTTAAGTAATGAAACTACTATATATTACTGGTGATAATCAGGGCTTTCAAACAGAACATTGTATACATTACTGGTGATAGTCATGGTTTTCATAAAAAGGGTTTTCATTCAAACAATGTTATACAATACAGTTGGTGGTAACCAGACGTACAAACTAATACATTATACACTACTACAGAACACATTAATAAACATATATGTTAGAAAATATTGGATTTTCTTGGGAAGCATACAAACAATTTACAGATTCAATGACAGGGTTTTCATTACAAAAACATGCTTATGAACTCACCAGCTTTATGCTGATACTCTTTCCAAATTGCTTGTATTCTCAAGAAATCAGTAGACAGGTACCTCGCACAGATTTTTGTGAAGACGGAGCGTATAGAGTCACGTCTTTTTCTTTTGGTTATACTTTTGATGTATAAAAACATGAATCAAACAGATGTAAATACCTTATATATATATATATATATATATATATATATATATATATATATATTCAATGTAATGGTTGTGTTTATTATGATTACTATGATGCAATTGTTGTGATACTACATATGACGTCATCCACCTCCGAACGTTTCCGCCGTTCCGGTTTGGGGGTGTGACACAAACATATAGCCAAACCAAAATGGATCTTATAGTTTTATTAGGATAGCACATAGAAGTTCTACAAACACACATGATATGAGTGGAGCTTCCTATATAATCGTTAATACCAAAAGATACATCATGTCGTTTTGATCGGTCTCAAATTTCATTCGATTTATGGCTAGAAAAAGATCGTGGAACACCATAGACAACCTAAAATGGTGTCATTAATTAATTATAGTAGGGGAGTGAATTAAACATTGATGTATTGTTCCGATATGTCTATTTGAAGATGAAAAGCCTTTGAAAAAATTCATTGAAACCTCGGTTTACATGAACGCAAAAAGAAACATGTCGCGGTTGGAGTTGGAGTAATACAATATAGTTTTCTGACTTTTCGTACAGTCAGATTTATGTAATTGGCATGTATCCCCAGTTCCCCACATCGACTGCATTGAGCCTTAGGCTGGTGGGTGTGGTGTCACATTTGCCACGGTCCACGTAGGCGCCACATCATACTTCCCACATTCTTAGCAAAACTTGTCATTTGGTAGGCGCGGGTTGCCACACTTCCTATGTTATTTTTTTAATATACAAAATAAATAATTTAAACATAACATTTTTTTAAAAAACTTTAAATTCATTAAATTTAAAATTAAAATACAACACACCAAAAAAAACATAGAAATTCAAATTACAAACCTAGAAATTTAAAAAAACATAGAAATGTAAAACCCAAACTAGATGTTATATTTTTTTTGCAAGCTCCTCTTTGGCTATTAAAGTCATTTCTCGTTCGCGTCCAGATAGCTCGGTTGTGGTCTCGTTAAAATGGACATAGCACGAGTTTTTTCTTTCTCTTGTGCAAAGTTCAAGTAGCGCTCCAAAGAAGACTTCGGGTTCCGCTTCAGTTTGAAATTCGGTTTGGTGGTTCATTGGGGACTCGGGAAGATCATCAAATGGATTGAACTCATGCATCATTTGGGATGAGAAGTTTATTTGCGGTTGATTTTGGTATTGAGGTTGATTTTGGGCTTGAAATAGGAAGTAAACACCACCAAAATGAAGATTCGGTGGAGAATAAATAGGCCGATCGCGTTGGTTTTGGATGAATGTTGGTGAAGAAAGTGAGACGTTTGGGTTTTGAGTGTTTCGTTTGGTATTTTTTGAGCTTTTGAGTTGGAGGAGGAAGCCATTTTTTTCAAAAAAAAAATTGAATGGTTTGACTGATAATTTGAAGGTTGTGAAATGAGGTAAAATATATGAAATATTGGTATGTATTTAAGGTAAAAAATAGGATTTTTTAAATTTTATTTTGAAAAAACGGTCACATTTGACCCCCCATTTTCGTATCCCAATACATCTCCAACGTCTCTCTCCTCAGTGAATAGTAGCCGAATTGCCAAACCGAGGGGTCGGCGCGGTGTTTGCCGAGCTCGCCGAGCCCAATGCCGAGATAAGCCGAGTCCACACCGTCTAGCCTTAGAGGTGTTCCTGTTGCTTCTTCTTCATGTGTTATGTACTCTCTTCTAAATAGTTAGGGTAATTTGGGCTAAAGCCATTTTCATAACGCTGGACCGGAATGGGATGTTATCAATGGACTAATAGTTCGATGTTAAGAGATTTTGTATGGCCCATCTTCTTCTTTTTTTCTTTTCTTTAACTTCGGATGCTATTAAGAAGTTTCGTATGGCCCAATTTTTAGAAAGTTTATACCATTTACATTTTGACTCCGTCTTCTAGTCCATAACATCAAAAAAATATTTTCATGATTTATTTATTTTTAAAGATTACGCAGTACTAAAAACATTGATTATATATGATATTCATTTTCATTTTGAAAAAGAAAAGATTGTTATAGAAGATAATGATCCAACACAAAACACTATAATAGGCCTTGTTGCACACGACTGTGCAAATATGGCGACCAATTTTTATTATAATATTTTAGTAGGGTGAATGACGGAAAAAAAACACTATATGATTCTAAATATCCGGTTTAATCAACCAATTTTTATTTGTGCTAAAAAAAATTATTCATTTTTAGATAAAAGTTCTATATTAACCACTACTCGCATTTGTACTAAAACAACCATCAATTCTATTTTTGCTAAAAAAATCACCCATAAATTGGTGGTTAAACCGAACTTTTGAAAAAATATAATTTTTTTTTTCATAATTAACCTAGCATACTACAAGTAATAATGGTAGCATTGAAACTTTTTATTAAAAAATGGTGGTTTTTTCAGAACTTATTAAATAATAGTGCTTAAACCGAATATTTGAAAAAATATAGTGTTTTTGCGTCATAAACCATATTTTAATACTTATATATTTTATGTGTATTAGACTGATGTGAAACATATACTTTTCCTTAATATTTTCTCAACGAAGTAAATACCTTTTTATTCTCACCGTGGATAGTTCCCAAAAGATTATCCACTTTGATTAAATATTGTATTTTGTATTATGTAATAAATGCTACAATAATAATCAAATAATCAAATGATTTGAAGACAAGTAATAGGGATACGCAATAATAATCATAGTTACAAATTCATACATATTTTCCTATTGATAATCATCATTCGTTTGAAACTACATGTATTGTCACATCTTAAATTTATTTTTTTACTTCTAATATTATAAACTTTGAAGCTAAAAATCTCACTTGTCCATATAAAACTTGCTACAAAATATACACCATCTAAACTATTTTATAAAAGAGCATTATTGTGTAGTGTATAAATGAAAAAAAAAAAAAAAAAGTACAAAAATTGGTGTTCGAATTGAATCTTTATCTAGTTACGGGGACCGAAAGGGGTGATTTTGATGACCAGTCCAGGGAATACATCATCCGGGTCATGGATATGCGGGTTTTCTTCGACGATAAACGGGTCGCCGCACTTTTCGCTGATAGTGTGCAGCGTTTCACCTTCTCCGACGACATAAATCTCTTCGCAACCGTGACCCGACGCCGGATTTACCTTCCTGATCAGAGAATTGTCTTCTGTAAAAGAGTTTAATAGAACGAGAAGCACGAGAAATATGATACAGTACCACTGAGCTGCCTCGGCGTAACTCATCGGCGCTCTTGATGATGACGCCATATCTGATCGGCGAATACAGAGACGAAGATGATGATGGTGATGATGATTATATCTGTTTTTGGTGAGGTATAACTATAAAGGGAAATGGGATGAATATGAATTGTATATATATAGAGAGAGATCTAGTCATATAGATATGTAAGGATTTGAGTGGGCGTGTATGTGGCGCCAGAATATTGGGTTGGACGTCCGCTTGCCGTTTTATTTCGGCTTTGTTGACCTGTTTCACTTTGTTTTACTTTTGATCTTGAATAGTATTTATTTCACTATTCCCAAAATAATATTATTGTTATAAAATAGTTAAATGGATGTAAATTTTTTTTTTTTTTTAAATATATTTTGAATGACTTATTCATTCATATGGCTTTCAACTTAAATTTTAGATATTAGTCATTTGAATAATTGAGATATTATAATTATCCCTCATTATGGTTTAGTAGAAGACTGGATATTTTTTTGTTTCTATCATGTAAAGAGGACATTTTATGTGGGTCTTATGTTTGATTAGAAAAAATTAGAATCAAATAAAAAGTTTGATTTTTTTTTATTTTAAATAAAAATATTAATACAAAAACTATTTTGGAAAGCTTTATTAGCATTTTAGCTCTTAACATTTTTGTTTTATATTTTTATACTTTTAAAAACTTACATCTACATTTTCAAATAACGATACTAATTAAACCTACGGTTACCTGGTAGAGTGGTAGTTATACCAAACATATATTATTTATATATTAATTTGTTATATAGAAATTGGCCCTTCAAATAAACGTTACGTATATAAATTCGCCCTTCAAATAAACGTTACATGTTTTATTGATTTTAGTTGATATATGTCATTTATAAAAAAAAAAATTAATAACATTAAAAAAGGGTTGCTTTTGGTTCTTGTAAATTAAAGACGGCTATTAAAAGTTTAATACTAATGTCAAAGTTGATGACTCGAACGATGAAGACACATTTTAATTTATCATGCATGCTATTGCTCATTCTGCTGGTCCAACTTCCAAGTATTACATTTGAAGTCGACTATAGCTCATGTCTAGTTTCAATGGTTTTACTATAATTTTCACGATAATGAAACCTATATTTCTTTATTTATAAAAAGGTTAATATTATACTAAAATATCTTATACAAATATTTTATGTTTAAAAGATATGTATTACATTTGAAGTCGACTATAGCTCATGTCTAGTTTCAATGGTTTTATTTTAATTTTCACGATGATGAAACCTATATTTCTTTATTTATAAAATGGATAATATTATAAAATATCTTTTATAAATATTTTATGTTTAAATCTATTTATTTTTTTTAAATCCTCATATTTTATAATTTTTTCTTTTCATCCCTAGCTTTGCCGTCAATTAATTACAATTTCAGATAAAAACTATTGTTTTTTTTCCCTCAAAAAACTCTTATTTCTAATAAACTTTTTTGTTTTGACCAAAATTTCTTTGTTTTGATTTATCTGTTTGTTCTTGTTCTCGTTGATGTTTATGGTGTTCTTAGTGTTTAACAATAAAATTTGACGAAATAGTACATTATTTTCAAAACAAGGAGAAATATTGTATTCAATTATTGTTCTTAAATTCCATATCATAATCTATGTGTTGTATACTCAAATATTATTGTGGGTGAAGAACAACAGTCTAGGCTGGCATACCATCTCTGTTTTCACTTATTTGGTCAATAAAGTTTTATTAAATTCATTTGAGACTCAATTTTCCCCATCGATAATCATATCAATAAAAAATAATAATTTTTTTTTTCAAGTTCACAACATAGAACTTTGGGTCATCAAATTAGCTGACACATAACATTTACTCTTCAAATTAGCAGATACAAAACCATTTATTATATGATTTCATTCAACGTAGGATGGGGGGTACGCCCAACGTAATGAGCAAAGTGTCAAACCCTAAATTTTAGGGTTTGGGCACTATTTAAACATCTTTATGAGCTCAAGGCTCTTTCATTCTCAGCCTCTAAAGTCTTTGAGACCCATTCTCGAAAACCCTAACCCTCCCAAGAGTGTTGTGAGCTTATTTTTGTGTTTCTGGGTGCATTTTGGTGCATGTTCTTGAAGAAGGTGATTGGTGCAAGTTTGGAGTCCAAGGGAAGGCTGTTAGATCCAGACTCTCCACTCCATTCTCAGCTCATTTGAGGTATAAAGATTTGAACTTGCTCTTTAGAAGTCTAGATCTATGATTATGTAATAATTGTCCTCTTTTGGATCTCATGGGTGGGATCTAGTGGTTGTTATCAATTCAAGAGCTTTGAGTTGCCCCTCTTGGCATTTCTGAGGTGTTACAATTTGGTATTAGAGCAGTACGCCCAGTGTAAGGTGCAATACGCCCCACGTACTGATTTAAGTTCCCCGATCAGGATTTACGTGTACGATGAGCGTACCAAGGGAGGTACGCCCCGCGTAATCTCGTTGTGGGCTTTTTGGGCTAGATCTCGTCTTGGGCCTTAAGTGTTTGGGTCTTGGCTTTCGGCTTGCTGTATTGGGGATTTTTGGTCTGAGGAATATATTATATGTCTTGGACCCTTATGTTGGGCTTGCCATTTTGGACTTAAGTTTAGGGTTGGGTCTTGGTGGGCCCAATGGGCTTGGGTTATTTATGGGCTAGATTAGTGGATCATCTTTAGACTTAATGTGTGGGGGCTTGGTCTTAGATCCTAATTGAGTTTAATTATGGGTTTGGCTCAGTGTTAGGGGTCGGTGTGCAGCAGCAGCAATTGTAGGATCTGTTCATCATCTGAGGTGAGTCTTCTCACTATACTTACATGTGTGGTAATTTATGTGTGACCGGAGGGTCTTATTCGTGTTATTGACCGAAGGGTCTTATTTACATTACTGACCGGAGGATCTTATTACATTATTGATCAGAGGGTCTTATTTGCTTACATTATGATATGTGTTATTATGCATCCTGTATTTGTGACTTATGTTGTTATATGATTATGCATATATATTGAGTTATGACCGGAGGGTCCATATCAAGACGTGAGACCGGAGGGTCTTCACTGAGACACATGACCAGAGGGTCCCTTTCGAGATTTAGCCATGAGAGACTAATATTTGTGTATGTGGTATTTTGGGGAACTCACTAAGCTTCGTACTTACCGTGTTGATTTAAATGTGTTTCAACTACTTCTGTAGATTCCGGGAAGGTGGAGGCATGATTGTACACATTCGTCGGCTTATGAGATCTTGTGGATTTTGGGATACTCTGATATTGTTTAGATAACAACTTCTAATTTATGTGATAAATTGAATTTATGAGTAATGATTGGTGAATTAAAAATGAAAATTTTGTCTTGAAATTTGAGGTGTTACATAATCTATGATGATTTTTTTTCCAAAAATAAGTGTTAATTACAAGTCAACCGATAAAATGCCAAAACCAACATATCTTAAATAATGTAAATTTTTTTAAAAAGAAATCTCCGATAAAGTCTCAATATTTTGGGTAAGTTTGCGGTTTAATCCCAACATTTATTTTTTGAACAGAAAAATCTCGATTATTTAATTTTATACAATAATCTGTCATTTTCTATTGGAGAAAAAAATAAGAATTGTTTTGCTAATTTGGGCAAAATATAAAATAATCATTATTTTTCTATTTAAAAAATAAAAATTATGATTAAACGACAATTAGGGCTTTATCGGATATTTTTCATTTTTAAATGAAAAAAAAAATAAGTTTAAAATGGAAAATTCTGAAAAATATGACGTATTTTATAATATGAAATCTTTAAAAAGATATTTAATTTATAACAAATCGATAAATTGCAAGCATAAGTTATTGGGTGTGTTCAGCAAAAATAGCGGGTAGCGGATAGCTTCTAGCTGGTAACGTTTTGTTAAACGTGAAGTAACATATTGATTTGGGATGTTTTATTTAAAGTAAACGCTAGAAGCTCGTTGTACCAAACGAGACTTTCTGTTTGAAACGGAACGTTTTGTCAAACGTTAGAAACTAGAATTTCTCAAACGCTCGAAAACGTTCCGTACCGAATACGCTCAAACTTTCATTTAATTTTTATTTTGGGATTTATATTTTAATTTAATGTTTTATGATCTGTTATGTTCACTAGTTATATGTTAATATAACACCAAACGATTTGGGAATATATGTTTTTAAAATGAAAATAAATATGTAGCTAAGTTTTTTTATTAAAAAAATAATAATAAGCAGGATGAAAATTTTTATTTAATTTTGACGGAAATGGATTGCGACGACTGAATGAGCAGCCTCCTAAAACAAATTGACCAAAAATAGATAATAATTATCTAAAATTTCAAAATTCTTTGTCTTGTGTTTATTTGCCCATATGTGCTTCTTTTCTTTCTATTTATTATTTTATTATCGATGTAATTGTCACGATGCCAAATAATATACACAAAAGTGAAAAGAAATGTGAGAATTGTTATGATGATGCATAACAATGATCTTTATATATTTTTTATACAGTATATTACACCGATCGTGTATGTATCAAAAAATACGTTTAGTCATTATTTTTAAAAATTAGTTCTAACCGTTCCACATCTCATTAAAATTTGCATGTTTCGTACCTAACAAATGATTTTGTTGCGGTTTTAGTCTATGTCCGATCTTTTTTTTTTTGAAACGACGATTTATAAAAGAAGCAGTAAGCAAGACAGAACAAGCACACACCTACAAGAGACAGGCGGAGCAAAAATAAAACAAAACAAGATTACATAGATTTAAAAGGACAACAGAGCCAATTCAACCAGATAAATCTACCCAAATTGCCCCTAAAGTTCACTCAATTGTACACCTCAATAATGATGTGGTCTGTCTTATTCGTAGGGGTGGTATGCTTTTTTTTTAAACATCATGTCATTTCTGGCTTTCCAGACAAACCAAAGGTAACCGTACACAATGGCAATCAAGGTTCTTCTCTTCTTTGGACATCTACCCCAATTAGCCGCAAAACCCACCTGGTCTTTCACCGAATCAAA